TGAGGCATAAAGAAACATCTAATTTGTCCACATTATAACACAGCTCATAAGTGATACAATCAATCTGGCTCCTAACTATCCTAAAACACTTATGTGCCAGAAGATACCAAAGAAACAAAAACAAGCCAATTTGGCTGTTGCACACACATTATTTGAAGTTATCTACATTGAAATGAATTTATCATTGTGAAACTTAGTGATTAAAAATGACAAACTTATAAGACAGAACTCCTATAAAATCTGTAGCTCACAAAGGAGTTAAGTTCAAACAAACCAGTATAATGTACTCAATGAGAAAACTGTAAAACTGCATAAAATTTAAGAATTATTGCTTTTAGGCTGTCAAAAGTTTCAGTAAACTTTAAGAGAACAAAGTTAGTGAAATGACAGAAAATATGAAATATACCATTATTTGTGCCAGCACATAGAGCACTGTTAGATAATTACAAAATTATATGGTCAACTAAATAATTTTAAATGATATAACCTATTCCCATTAAATTATATAACCTATTCCCATTAAAACTCTCAATCAAATAATCACATTTTATTAATAATCACAACTGCAAAACTGTGGCAAAGCTACAGCATTCATACTCTCTGACCGTGTAAACTTGCTCAACACTTTTAGTGGGGGAAGCAAAAACCTGACACTGTAGAAACATTTACATCCTTTGACCAGGAATCCCAGTTAAGGTTAGTATCCTATGGAACCAAGTCAAAAGAAGAAATATATATGCACAGAGATGTTAAAATCAATGTTAAAATGACAAAAATTAAAAGCAATTCTTTTCCTTTGGGGCATTTAAAGTTAAGGAAATTTGCAGGCACTGGTGGCTCAGGGCTGTAACCCTAGTTACTCAGATGGCAGAGCTCAGGTTCAAAGTTGGCCCACACAAATAGTTTGCAAGACCCTATCTCAAAAACACCTAACACACAAAAAAAAGTGGCTTAAATGGTAGAGCACCTGCCTAGCAAGTGTGAAGCCCTGAGTTCAAACCCCAGTACCATAAAAAAAAAAAAAAAAAAAAAAGTTAAGGAAATTTAAAAAGTGATTTGATTAGCTGAGACATAACCATAAAATATTACAAAGGTTATATGACATGGGAAAATACAATGCTAGAAAAGTAAAATAAAATATCTATGATATTGTAAATTCTACAAAAAATACAGCACATATGCACAAAATAGAAAATAATGAAAATATTTGTTAGTATGGCAAAATTGGAGTTATTCCTAACACTCTCTAACAAGTGTCCAATAAATAAAGCAAGCTACCTCAAAAAATAAAATTAGATGAAACAAAACTATGAAATTGGAAGAATAAAGCTATAAAAATAGAACGGAAGCTCCATTAGGCAAACCAAGATCCTCCCAATCTCAGTCTCCCAAGTAGCTAGGATTACAGATGTGAGCCACTAGTGCCCAGATTTTTCTACCAATCTTGTTGAGAATAAGTCATTACTATGTTGCAAGTATTTTTTATTTCTTGGGTATTTAGGCAAAAATAATAAATGGTTGAAAAGCACTACCTTTGTTAAGCTATAAAACACACACCTGGGTGAATACACCTAGACCAAAAAGTGTGTTATTTACATGCCCCCCCAAAGTTTTTAATCACCTTACAACCACTGCCAAAATGCCAAAATAAACATCACTAAATCTACTTTAAAATGAAAATTAAAATGCCAGGTTCAAGGCTGCCAACAAATATAAACAAAAAGTCATATATAATAAATACACTTGGATTTATAATTATATATTTCATATATTTATAATATAAAACATGTATACTGGGCTGGCAAAATGGCTCAAGCGTAAGAGTGGCTGTCTAGTAAGTGTAAAGCCCGGAATTCAAACCCCAGTACTGCCAAAAAGAAAAAAAATGTATAGAAAGTATTTATAATTATTGATGATGAACTTCCTTAATTTCCTATGAATTTATACCTTATTATAACTTTAACTTCGAGGGACAGAACAAAGGAAATAAAATGTTTTGAGGGGAATTTCTCATAGCTATAAAATACTACCTCAACATTAAAAATTACATACAGAGGAGCTGAGATTGTGGCTCAGTAGTAGAGCCCTTAGCTAGCATGGGTGAAACCCTGGGTTCAATCTCCAGCACCATATACACACACACACAGAGAACACACAGCATCTCAGGCAAGTTCTTAGCCTCAAGGAATAAGTGTGAATATAAGAGAAACACAAAATATTAAATTAAGCTAGACTATAATAATGCAAAGTGGTTTTTCTAGGATACATTTCAATACAGGGACTAGTATAACAAATATGATATGCATTAATTTTTATAGGGATCAGCTGAATACCAAATTATTCTTCTTCGGGTTTTAAACAAGGGAGGTTCTGGTTTTAAATAAGGAACTTTATCTTTTCTAAGGGCATTTCAACAAGAGAAAGAAACACCAGCTTATAGACACGCTTCATATTAAGGACAAAATGAGTGGAAATAGGATGCATGATGTAATTTACTTGATGTAGCAATTTAATTGGCTAGCAGAGTATACATAAGTCATTAAAACCCCAAAAATAGAAAGAATACAGGTAGAAAAAATGTAATTTCTTGAGTTAACATTAGTTACAGGTAGCAGATGTTCGATGGATAGCATATAATTTTCAAACAATACTCATAGTTTATAAATCCTGACTACCAATCAAAAGCACTCCTTCAATTATTTGTTAAAGAGCTAAAATAATCTTATTTTAAAAAGGAAATATGCCAAATAAAAAAGTAAACACAAAAATTTCTGGGTTATGTATTTAATAGATGGTAATATAATGCATCCAATACAAAATAAACATCCTATTAAGGTATTAAAAAAGGATTTTCCAGGAAATGCAATCAGATCTACCGAGGGTATTATGTACCTTAAATACACAAGTCATTAAAAGCTCCTTTCTGACAAATAAGATACAAAACAACCAAGTCCTCAATTACTACACTATTACATTTTAACATGTTTAAAAAAAAAATGTAATGGCAGAGCTGGAGGCTGGTGGCTCACACCTGTAATCCTAGCGATTGGGGAGGCTGAGATCTAGAGGATTCCAGGGCAAAAATTTAGAGGCCCCCACCTCAACCAACAGCTGGGCGGATGGCGTGTGCCTGTCATACCAGCTATAGTGGGAAGCTGAAATCAGGAGGATTGGGGTTCTAGGCCTTGGGACAGAAAATTCTGGGCCCAGTGGCGAGTGCCTGTCATCTCAGTTACAGTGGGAAGCATAGGAAGACTTAAGTCCAGGCCTGCGAGGAAGGGAAGAGGGGACACCCTATTTAAAAAATAACCAGAGTAAAAAGGGCTTGGAGGCGTGGCTCAAGCGGCAGAGCACCTACCTACCAAGCAAACCCCAAGTTCAAACTGCCGAGGAGGCGGGGAACTAATGTAAATAGCATCCTCAAAGCAAGATTAAATGTAGTTTAGGAAGACCGGATACACATCGTTTGGAAACTTGTAAGATTCTTAGGAATAATTTTACAAAAATTGGGAAGCTAACTATTAATTATGGATGGATTAAGGATCCATATACTGTCCTAATTCTTTCTTGACTTGTAGAAGAGTATCAATATTTTTAAAACATATTTTAAAAGAATGTTCAAATAGTCTTGAAAAAATTTATTACAGGAGATTCCTCAAGTCACTGAAAAAAATTTACATACAAAATCGCTTTTGTGTTTATATTTCAGGGTACATAACCTTCTAGAGATGACTTTTTAACAAGCTTTTATAAACAGCTTTCTCATCACAATTTTGGTGTAACTGACCAAGGCCATTTGGCTACTAAAGAGTACTTCTCAAATGGTTATTACTGACAATGGCAATGCCAGTGGTTAAGAATTTCTTCAACAGGACAAAAATTCTGCTCAGAAAAACAGTCGGTGTTTGTTCTGAGTTCAAATGTATGTATTATATGTATGTACTGTGACTGTCTCCATAATTTGTAATCCTAAAGAAACTGTAACTTTCACATTATAATTTAGGGATTAGTCAATAGGTCTAAGGTCCATCAGGTGTAATCCCTGTAACTCCATCATATTCATGGTTAAGTTTTACTCTTGGCTTCACCAGTTTTAGGACTCTTCATTAAGAAAAAACAATTGTATAGTATCTATGAGGCACAAAAATAGTCCCCAGCTCCTCCTCCTCGTTTGTGTTCAAAGAGCAAGCGTACAACACACTCTCTTTCACACACACACACACACACACACACACACAGCCCTATTCCCTAGGGCATTGATAAAAGGCACTGATCATTTCCCTAGTCCACCCAGGGAGGTTAAAAAAAAAAAAAAAGGGAGGAAACACGAGTCAATCTGCACCCACACCTCACCCCGCCCCACCTGGAAAACGTGGGGGGTTGGCGGGAGAGCGAGGGTGGCAGAAAGGACAGAGCAGGCCGACACCTCCAGCTTCCAGGTTCCCATACAGCTCGTTCCATCCGGTGCCACCCAAGTCACAGACCCTGATCATATTTTCCGCCGCGCTTCCGAACCCTACTCCCCGCCACCGTCACACCCAGGGTCCTCAATCGCTTGAGTCCTGGGTGGGAGGACCAGAACCGGCCCTCTTCCGGCCCAAACGAAGGGCTGAGGGGAGAGTCTCCCGAGAACTGGGCGGGCCCGAGCGCGGCCCCGGCCCTCTGAAGTGACCGCAAAGGGGACGATGAAGCGGAGGGAGGGGTCTAAGGCGAGCCGTTATTCCTTTTCACTCTGGGTTAGGAAAGCGCGCGAGAGGGAGGGGCCGGAACAAGGAACGCGTTACCTAACGGTCCCGCGGCCGGTGGCTCCTCAAGCGGACGCTGCTCGAGGCCGCAGCACAGCCACAGTCGCCCAGAGGGCTAGGGTCCGCGGCAAGAGAGCCCGAAGGGGTAGAAAGAGGGGGTGGGGACGATGCAGAGCAACGTCGCCATGTTAGCGCCTTCTTTCTCGGTATCCCTACAGGCTCCAGTCCTGCGGACTTCTCCCCATCACTACTCACCTTCCCAGGTCACTAGTTCATGATCCTTTCTGCCACCCGCGAGCCCCGCTCACAGCCGTGTTTACAAACTCCTCCTGGAGGAAAGGGCTGAACCGTACTTTAAAGGCCACGGGCTCCCACAGGCTTCCGTCTCGTCTCGCGAGATTGGACTGACAACCCTTGTCCCCGCCCCACTCCCGGCATCCCTCCTTTCTTCTTGCGCCCCTCCCCTCCACGCACACGCCCCTTCTTGCCTTCCTTCAGAGGGAGCGCCTCCGGGTCAGGTGATTCCGTCAGGCTTAAGGAGGGGGGCGGGTCTTCAGGAGGTTGAGTCCACGAGGGCGAGAACCAAAGAGCACTCGAGCGCTGATGATTGGACAAAGAGTTGGAAGGGCGGGAAGCAATTCTGGGGAAGGCGGGACCAGAGGGCCAAAGCACCGTTGTCTCTAGCTAGGTTGCTGCGGAAAGCTGTGATTGGCAGCCAGCTGGAGGCGGGCAGAGGCGCGAGAGCAAGTGGCGGGAGAGGGCGCGGGAGGGGTAGGAGGTGTGAAGGGAAGAAAGGTGAGTCTTGGGAAGGCTGCGAGTGGCTGCTCAGAGAGCGGGATGGCCTCCGAGCCCGGCCCCGGGAGACGGGAATTTCCGCTGCTATTATTTCCCTGCCCTCATAGGGATGGAGCCGCGTTCCTAAATCCACCCTCCCGCTACCCGGAAGCTAGAGGTGGGGAGCTTGTTAAGGTTTGGGAGGCGGGTAATTTACCGGTATTTACTCCCCGCACCACCTACACATACAAAGAAGAAAAGCAAGATAAGTCCGGTCTTAATATAAAAGAAAAAATAAAAAGCCTTTTCTCCGAATGGCTCTTGTTCAGATTTTACGAAGCTAAAGGCTTGACTCTTCAAGGCTTCTCTTTTCCCAGCACCAAGTACTGTGTGTGGTACTACCTATGATTGTGTTGGAAAAGGAAATACATCTTCCACTGTATCACCATAATTTAAAACAATGCAATGACTTGTTTCTAACAGGAAGCCCTCCATATTGTGGCATGTACTAATTTATCAATTTTCCTTTACTTGGTTACAGATAAAAATATGTCAATTTCAGTAGAGAAAATTTCAATTCTTTAAAACTTCAACGATCCCATATTAAGGTTTTTTAGAGAGGACCAAAGAATGCCAAATTAGAATATGACATAGAAATGTCACTCTTCCACAATCCTATCCTGCTGCTTAGCAGGTTGTTTCAACGCCAAAGAAATGTCTGTTAAGTTTGAAAGCAGCTTTTGAAAAACGGGCAAGGAGAAAGATCATTTGATTAAGGACAAAAGAGACCATCATTACAGCTTTGCAACTGACAGGCACACTCCTTAACACAGAAAGGACAATGCTGAAAGTATTTCTTAATATAACCTCACGATTCTCTTTACAACGTGAAGATTTCAGCATTAATATTAGGGATATTGGTTGTCCAGTAAATGGGCACAACTTGAAAAGTATGAATCAAGGGCTGTGAACATTTGTACCAATTACTCAAAAAAGAGCAAGTCTCTCCCCCCCCCCGCAGTGTTATGTATTTCCATTTGTTAAATGCTGAATTCTAGCCTATAACAAAATTATGAATGCAATTTATGTGTTTACATAAAGTACACTTTAAGTCTTTCCACACCAAGACGAAGCTAAAATTGTTTAAGTTAATGAACTTGCCATTCAATAATGATGTCTGACATGAAAGTGAAATTAATTGTAATGGCACTGGACCTTTTAATAGGTTACTGGCCTGTATACATGTATGTGAGCCAATTCAATCTTCTTTTAAAGCCGATTTTAATTACTGGAGAAATCTAAAAGAAGCCAAATTATTAACTGTTTAGTTTTTAAGTTAAAATGAAAGCACCATTCTGTGGTATCAGTGACAGTGCAGTAGTGTTAGTGTAATGTAACACTGTGTCACAAAACTTCAACTACTCAGGTTACTGATGGTTAAAATGATGATGGACAAAAACGTGTGACTGACACCATCACAAATGGTTAGGTCTAGAAAAGTCACTAAAATGATGCTTCTCTCTAGCTGACAAAATATCTAACGTGACAAAAAAGACTAAATGTGAATGCATTTCAAACAAATTGAAATCATTACTCCAGTTTGATTCGTTTTCATTTCAATTAGCAGTAGTTTTGGCATTAAAATTTTCTATCAGGTAGTTAGTAATCTACACAATGTACCAAAGGAACATATTATTTTATATAGTTTTATATATAAAATAATATATATATTATTTTATATAGTTTCTCTCTTTTACACAAGAGAGAAATCATTGGGTAATATGAATAGTACTCTGATCTGTTTTGCAATTCAGTTTTAGCAAGCTTTTTAAAGAGAAGGTATGTCTAAAAATAAAGGTGATCAAAAAAAAACAGGTGGAGGGGGCTGAGGGGAAGAGACAATGGGGCCATGTAATTAATGTACAATATAAGTCTAATCAGAATTGTAACTATGAAATCCCCCCCATATCATGAATATATCCTAATAAAAATTTATTTAAAAAACAAAACAGGTAGAAACTTACGTATGCTGGCAGGTGACAGTAAACAAGTGGCCTTACTTTATGCACATACTTCTCGTTCTACAATTCTTTTTTGCTATAGCTTTTCTACAAATGGAGAAAAGCCAAATAAGTGCAGTTACCATTTTTAGTTTCGATCCCATGAATCTGTAAGTCTCACTGTCTATACCCTCATAAAATGCTGTGCTAATTTTCTTTCTTGCTTCCTCATTCCTCAGATATCTCCAATGGTCCTAAAATTCTCTGCAGGCTTCTCTTTAGAAATGCAGGAAACTTCTGGACCCCTTATTTGCTCGTCTTATTGTTCCATAAATGTATATACCCAGTTACTCTCTAGGAGAGTTAGTCTGGTGAATCTTCTTTAAGAATGCAGCATGATGCCGGGGCGATGGTGGCTCACGCCTGGAATCATAGCTACTCAGGAGGCAGAGATCAGGAGGATCATGGTTCAAAATCAGCCCTGGGCAAATAGTTTTCGAGACCCTATCTCAAACAGATCCATCACAAAAAAGGGCTGGTGGAGTAGCTCAAGGTGTGGGTCCTGAGTTCAAACCCCAGTACTGCAAAAAAAAGAAAAAAGAATAGCATGAAATGATGGTCAGTCTGTACATATGCATTTCATTTTATTTCATGTGTTTTTTGTTTGTTTGTTTTTGGCTGTATGGGGTTTGCACTCAGGGCCTCATGTTTGCTAGGCAGTCAATCTGGGCCTCCTGAGTAGCTAGGATTATAGGCACTAGCCACGGCACCTGGCTATTTCATGTTTTTTTTGCGTGTGCTTTCTGATCTATTTGAAATGTCCTCATGTGAGTGTGTATTGATACCCTCTTGGGTAAGTGTCTTAGGAACATTCTTTTCTGATGGATGTTTCAAATGTCAGAGTTTATACCTGTTCCTAAGTGCAAAATGTATATTAACCAATAAAGAAGTTTATAAGAAAAAAAAAACCCATGACTTCTGGGTTTAGTATGCCTTAATGGATGAAAAAGCTATTTGAAGAAAACTCATTTCTATCACAAAAATGCTTCTTATTAAATGCCACAGGAACCAATGGTTGCTTTTTTTTTTTTTTTTTGATGGGATGGGTTTGAACTCAGGGCTTCATGCTTGCAAAGCAGGCCCTCTACTGCTTGAGCCATACCTCCAGTCCATTTTGCTCTGGTTATTTTGGAAATGGGGGCGGGGGGGTCTCATGAACTCTTTGCTCAGGCTGGCCTTGAACTTCAGTCCTCTAGACCTTAACCTCCCAAGTAGTTATGATTACAGGTGTGAGCCACCGATGCCTGGCAATTGTTGCCTTTAAATGCTCTTAAACCTTCCAAATGCCATGAAATGTGGTAGTTCAGCCTTGTTTAGAAGTGTGATATGGCTGTTAATCCATTAATCCATTAATCTGTTATTGCTTATTAAAATTCTAATACCCTGCTGAGGAGGGGGATATTCAATTTATAAAGCATAGTTTTTGTGTGTAAACACAGAACTAAACCAAGCTTGGAATGGAATACTCCAAGCTCTCTTATGTCTGCCTTGCACAATTTGTCTCAACATTCTTTTTTTTTTTTTTTTGGCAGCACTGGGGCTTGAACTCAGGACCTCACACTTACTAGACAGGCACTCTACCACTTGAGTCACTCCACTAGTGCACAACTAGTCTCAGCTCAGAGAAACAGCTTCCACGTTTTCATGGTATCCTTAGGATGCAGGACAATACAGCTGAATTAGCTAGAACTTTACTGGTGGGATTAAGAAGGGTGTTTGTGATGTGAAAGGGGTGGAGGCAGGATATGATATCTGGCCGATGAGAACAGCATGGGCCTAGACGTTTCAATTGATTTTTCCGTTGGTTCTATAATTATGGCAGATTTTCTTTCCCATCCTCAGACAGGCCAAGGTTTTCCTATACATTCTTGAAATGGCCTGTTTTATTTAACTCTTTGCACCGTCCTCATCATGGAAATTTCTATTCAGAACATGTCAAGTATAGGAATGTCCACTCTGCAACCTAAAGCCTAGTTCCTCTGAAGAATTTATGACTAATGATGTGTGACATTGTGGGAAAAAATTAAGGACTGTGTTTATCTTCAAGTCATACCAGTTAGCCTATAAGACCAACCCAGAGAGATAAAATGGAATTTAAAGGCCTTGTTTGCATCCTTAATACCAGTGCCTCCTCTTATGTCTCATTAGAAAAAAGAATTGTTATCACTATATTCTGTTCTCCATACAGTCTTCAGTTATCGATAAAAGTGTAGATGGAACCATTTCTAGTGTAGTTTTATCTGCCATTCCAGTGTCTACCCTCATGATTCCCCATAAGTCTTTTGGTCAGTCTGAGGCCCATATTATACCAAAGCCATGGATTCTTTATGCCAGAAACAGAGAGAACTCTCTTTGGTCAGTCATGTGGAACTTCCGGGGTCCATAGACTATCACACTGCTCTTCCGAATAGCCTTCTTACCTTGGACACAACCTCTTAGGTCAACTGTCAAACAAATGCTGTCTTTACTCATAAGGCATCAGTATTTATTAAATTTGAACATCCTAGGCACTGCTCCTGGCTCTGAGGCTACAACTATAAAGAATATGA